ATCAGACCACTGGAGTTACGAGAAGGTGGGGTAAGTACTGAGGGAACCACATAGACGCACGCTGGACTTTCAATCCCACTGACAATCTGATCAAAAACACTCTAAATGCACAATTTGCAGGTAATTTTAAGAATCTCAAGGAGTCCGTGGGACAACTTGGGGAGCCTCCCTGCTGGGAACCAGAACCCCATCATCTGCCTTTGCATCCTGAGTGCCTGGGTGCAGCCAGTAATGGTCAACAGGTGAGGGAGGACTCCAGAAGGACCAAGCCACCTTCAAGACAGAAAGTTCAAGTCAGGATAAAACCTTCCTTCCATTCTAGAACTCGGACAAGGGGTAACCCAGATCAGAAACTATGACAGGATCAATGTAAAGAAATAGAAAAGTTTATCAAGAGAGCAGCATAAAGGAGCACAGGTAGAGGCCAAAGGACTAACGATCGACAAAGGCCCATACCTGGGGGATTGGTCCTTTTGGGTATGTTCTGAGGTTCTTCATTTGGTCCAAAAATATTAGAGGCCATCCTATTGGGTCTGCTTGAAGGGACAGCTTCTTCTGGATTTCCAAATAGATTGCTCGATTCCCCTCCCGGGGGCTTCATAGCCCTGCAAGGACAGAGAAAGTATAAGTGACTGACAGCTCACCTGGGCACCCCATCCACGGCCATGGCACAGGCAGACAGGGCAGAAGTACTTTCTTCATGTCATGGAAAAACCACACAACACGACTAGTTAGTACTGGTCTGATTACCTTACAGACGGCCACACAGCAAACTTCCTTCACTGCCCTTAAGTTTTCTTTGTATACCTTGGTTGTGCCAAAAGACTTCTAGAGATGTGCATATTCTGAAATTATTCCTGTGACCTCTCATTAGTAAAATTAAACGTTCCCTAAAACAGGCAAATTGAACCAGTTCAGCAGAGTTTCTCAGTCGTTTTTAATTAGCCTACACTACTGTTGGGTATCGCAGCTTACACATGTTAACTGTTCATATATGCCAGCTGTCATTCGGAGGCCCTTACACGACAACCCTCTAAGGCAGGCACTGTTTTCAAAGACGAGGAGTCTGAGATAAAGAGAAATCACGAGGAGGGCCACACAGGAAGCAGAGATAGGATGCAAGCCCAGGTAGTCTGGCTATAGGGCTCAGACTACACCCTAACATCTCTAGAAACAAACAAGTCTTCTAGAAACAAACAAGGGGGCGGTGCACCATCTACCCACAGATCAAGCGTGACCTAGAGAGCCGGGTCTTCAGAAGGGTGGCCACTGTGGCCAGTGAGTACTTGGATGTGGGTGTGTGGGCTCTGATGTGCTATAAGTGTACTACACACAGGAT